AGTAGTTAGATTAGTAGTAGTAGCTAGTAGTAGTAGCAGTGAGTAGTAGCAGTAGTAGCAGCAGTAGTGCAGCCAGTAGCAGTAGCAGCTACATAGCAGCTTGCAGTTAGTAGCAGTAAGCAGCAGCAGCAGAAGTAGTAGTAGTAGTTGTAGTAGTAGTGTAGTTGTAGTAGTAGTAGTAAGTCAGTAGCAGAGTAGTAGTAGCAGTAGTAGTAGCAGTAGTAGCAGCAGTAGTAAGCAGCAAGTGCATTAGCCAGTAATAGCAGTTGCCAGTATAGTAGCAGTAGCAGCAGCAGCAGAATAGTAGTAGTAGTAGTAGTAGTAGTAGTAGTAGTAGTTGTAGTAGTCAGTAGTTTGTAGTAGTAGTAGTATGTAGAGTAGTAGTATGTAGTAGTAGTAGTAGTAGTAGCAGTAGTAGAGCAGTAGTAGTAGCGGATGTAGTAGTAGCAGTAGTAGTAAGCAGTAGTACAGGCAGGTCAGTAGCCTAGCAAGTAGGCAGTAGCAGTAATGCAGTTCGCAGTAGTCAGTAGGTCACAGCTAGACAGCAAGCAAGTAGGTAGTAAGTAGTAGTAGTAGTGTAGATAGTAGTCAGTCAGCTAAAGTTGTAGAGATAGTAGGTTGCGTAGTAGCATTGTAGTCGAAGCATAAGCTAGTGGTTTCATACAGTGTCGTGAGTATGTGCTTAGTCGACGTGTAGTAAGTATGTAGTAGTAGTAGTAGTAAGTACAGTAGGTAGTAGCAGTAAGTTAGTAGCCAGTTAGTAGCAGCAGTAGTTAGCAAAGCAGTCAGCAGTAGCAGTTAATAGCAGTTGCAGTATAGTAGTAGCAGAGCAAAGCAAGCAGCAGCAGAAGTTAGTAGTTAGTAGTAGTAGTAGTAGTTGTAGCATAGTTAGTAGTTGTAGTAGTTAGTTAGTTGTAGGAGTAGTTTAGTTGTAGTAAGGTTAGTAGTAGTGTTGTAGTAAGTAGTAGTTTGTAGTTAGTAGCTAGGTAGTAGTAGTAGCAGTTTAGTAGTAAGCCAGTAGTAGTTAGCAGTAAGCAGGTAAAGCCAGCCAGCAAGGCAGGCAAGTAGAAAGGTAAAAGTAGTTTTTAAAGTTTAGGGTAAGTTTTAGTAGTAGTAAAAAGTTAGTAGTTAGTAGGTTAAGGGGGAGTAGGGGAATCTTTTTTTTCCCTTTTCCCCTGGGTGGGAGTAGGAATAGGAGTAGGAGTAGGAGTAGCAATATAAAGAAAAATCTAAAATATATTTTTTATTCTACAAGGAGTAAAAAATTAGACACATTTGCATTTTTTATTTGTTGTTAAGCAGAATGCAATAAGAGATTTTGAATTGCAAAGAGATATTCAAAACTCTTGAATGAAATTATTTGTTTTATTTCTTCAGTGGAGTGCAATGCATTTAATTTTCGCTTTGAAAGAGTCCAATCCTTGTCAATCAGAATCATCTGAAAAAATATTATTTCACATTATATAAATATAATTACAAATACTATTTCACATATATTAAATAACATAAACATAACAATTTTTAATAGTGGGTAGTATTCAGTTAAAGAGAAAGAAAAAATATTCTAACTTATGTTTTTAAGCATATTGATGTAGCAAGTTCAGAGGACTCTGCTATGAATTGAAATTTATCTAAGTTCTGGCTGAAAAGAACAGCAACCAGTTATGAATAAATATTGAAATATGTTTTATACTATTACTGTCCACCTTCTTCGCTGGAGTTACTGAATTGAATAAAAATCTAACCATTAAAAATTGGTAGATAGTTGATGCAGCCTATTCTGAATAAAATGTTTGTAACCATTTGTTTCAACTGCTCATTGTTTCAAAATGATCTCATTAGGCCGTGTTTACAGACAGTGTTTTGTAGTTAATTCCGTGACGGTTCGTAGAATTGTTGCACAACAACCAGAAATTTTCGGCCAATGTCCCTTGACACGTTAACATTAAAACGAAATAACTTTGTAACGCGCCAGTGGTCTACCTCCGAAGGGACTTGGTATCTACGAGACGAAGAGAGGCCCTGTGAGCGGCCGAGGGTGGCGTCATCAAGGGAGTTCAACTGCAACAACCGGGCGTCCGGGGGACGGCTCGAGCCGAACACCTTCTTGGTCTTATCTCACGCTGTTGTCCATGTGTTGCAAATGGTTCTTAGCACCTCTCAAGCCCGAGATGGATTTCAGACACCGAGGTACATGGAATTAAGAAGATAAATGGCACAGTTACGTATGTCTCGTGGACGAGGTCTGTGTGAGCTGTTTTGAGAGTGCAGAAATTACGTTGATTACAAGTAGTCCAACGTCATTTATTAGGTAATTAATAGGTTTATGGAACTTGTATATGAGAGTTTTTGACAATAAATTCTGCACAGGGTTTACAGGATAAAAGATTTTCTCAACGTTCTAATGAAGAAAAACAGAATACAAGAACTCGGAAGACCATTGCCGAATTTAAATATAGAGCAAATTGTAAAGACAGGAAATAGACAATTGAAGATGTTTTTAAAAGAGACGATTATTGTAGAAATGCATAGCTCTGTGGATGTGGTGAGAAAAATTCTGTTTGTTTCAATCAAACCTTTTGCCTTGTTTGCCGCTTTTTCAATACGAAAACATTGGCCGCTTCTTGAATTTACACCGAACGTTAACCGCTCAAATTAAAGGAGAAAATATGTTGTTATCTGAAAGTCCGAGTCCTAGGAATGACGTATGTCTGCAACAACATGGTTCGTGCGGCACCAGCTGCCATTGAGCTAATTATATTTCAATATGAGAATGAATCATCAGAACACTCTCTTCTGAATAGGCTTTATAATAATCTTAATCTTAATAGAATAAGTAGAATGTCCATAACTAATGTGTTTCTTGATAACTATGTTTCAAATAGATCTCATTCCAGGTCCTTCCACAGACATTGTTTTGTTGTAAATTGTATGCAAATTTGAACACTTCACACGATATTACGAAAAGGTTGAAGTTCGGCAACCTCGCGTGATTAATACACAGATGCGTGACGGGTTGCATACGCAGCGTATAAAGGCTTATTTGATTGCAGTATCTATTATGGAATCTGATATTTTTAAAATTTTTAGAACACTACATACATACACTGTCGTACATGCTCCGCACGTCGATGGTTTACAGTTTTAAAACGAAACCAAATCTTTGCAGTGTCCTCACGACCATTCTGTTCATATGATTTACGGGATTTACACATGAAACGATGCATCTATTTTGCACGTTCCATTTTCTCACAAAAAGCGAAAATGGCAAGGAAAGTGACTTACGGGGTTTGAAAAATAAATCAATTATCAGTCGTAGAAAAAGCCGTCCGTTAAAATAATAAATGATAAGATGCTCGGTTGGGCCGTGATCAGTGTCTAAAAACGTATTAAAACTCGAGTCGTTGCCTCTTCCGGCCTAAATTTAAAATAAAATAAAAATTGTCGATGTAGTCACATCTCACAGATTACAAAGGCTTACATCTCACATACAAATTAACTTAATACAAATTAAATTAAAAATATAATAAATTAAGCAAGTTATATTGTATAAATTATTAAAATAAATGACATCTTTTTCATCAGTGATGTATTGATTGACTCTTGTGTGTGTGTGTGTGTGTGTGTGTGTGTAGGAGGGGGGGCTTGTCGCAAGCATTGAATAATTATTGGAGGGTGTTTGAGCGCGCGTTACACGTGCACTGCGGGGGCGAGAGGGGGATTGAAAGTACTCATGGACGGCCCGGGTGGGGTGGTGTCCCGCTGGGGAGGGACCTGGTTGGGGAAACGCCGGCTCTCACCGTCCACCGCCCGAGGGGAACACGAGCACTGCGCATACGCCACTAACCACTCATAATCACCTACAACGAATATTATAAATGTGCGTTATGCTTATGTGAATTGTCCTTTACTCTTGCAGGGCGGCCGGTTGCGCCGTTCGGCTTGTCGTTTGTTCTTTGATAGCCAACCGGTCGCTCTTGGGCGAAGCCAGCTCTTCCTCCAGGCGACGGCCGCGAGTCTCTTGCTCCGATGTTACTGCCCAACGTTTTGGCAAAAGGGCTTATTAAGATGCTAATACATTTAAGAAAGTGAATCACTTACCAACACCGGCAGCGGCGGGGGAAAAAACGAATGGCTTAAGCGTACTAGTGACCGCGTAGTTATGGGTTCAACCCTCCAAGGTGACAGAATGCTACTTGATGTGTTTACATGAGCGAGTTCACAGTGTCTGCCACTTCTTAGTAGGGGTGGACTGATTGGTGAGTTTGTGACGTCTGTCGGAATCGAATTCGTAAGCCGTCTGCTTTAGTTAGTGGTTACCCTGATCACTCCCCACCTGCTGCGTTTAGCTCAGAGCCTCTTTTCAACACTAGCTACACAGATAGGTCGTATCCAGCCTCTGACTGGAGGAAAATTCTAATGGCCGGCAGCTCTGAAAGGCATAGTTTTCTGTGGTTCCTCCGATCGATATCAGGGGAATGCCGGAGCAAAACCGAAAAATGGACTACGGACCGCCCGCAATCTTTCCTTCCTCTTCCTTGCCCTGTCGACTCCGCCTTACGTACATCACGTACCCTTAGATGGAACGAGGAGTGTGGGCGGCGGGGCGCGCTCGGAGGGCTCCTGGGCGGGCTCGCCCCTGCCGACAGCGCTCGCCAAGGGCTGTGACTTTGTATCACGACCCTGCGAGATTTGTGGGCTGGATATTTGGTTACTCTGACTTGGCGCAACATTTGCCATTTTGTTTAGGTGTACTCGTTACCTGGATTGTAAATTTGCTTACCAGTTTGTAACTGCCGTATGCAGTCTTGTAATAAAAGCAATAACATGGTTTTGTATTTTCCTATATATATATATATATATATATATATATA